GATCTTCACCGGCGTACGACTGGCGGGTGCCCGCCAGCTGGACACCCATGGCAGACTCTGAAACAGATCTTCACCGGCGTACGACTGGCGGGTGCCCGCCAGCTGGACACCCATGGCAGACTCTGAAACAGATCTTCACCGGCGTACGACTGGCGGGTGCCCGCCAGCTGGACACCCATGGCAGACTCTGAAACAGATCTTCACCGGCGTACGACTGGCGGGTGCCCGCCAGCTGGATGCCCCTTACGGTGGGCCCACAGGACAGGCCATCTCACACAGTTCACTTAGTACCTGCAGCGACTTATCCCGCTGTCATGCTCGTCATTAGACTGCTATGGCGCTCGCATTGGACTACAGATATTCAACAGGCCCCGGCATCTTTTGGAACCACTAGGCTTAGCATGCCGCTATGTATTCAACGTGAGCGTAACTCATTTCCTATCATGCTATATGTATCATTGAGTTGTCAGTCAGCCGCCATCCCCATATTGCCTTTGGACTCACGAGTTTCACCCAATGAACGTGTTTCTACACCTCCTGTAGAACCTCCTTCTGTGCGGTCTGCCTGGACCTCTGGATCGTGAAACCTGGAGTGAGACAACATAAGTGTGCTTGTCTGCCTGGCTGCCAATATTTACTTACCCGTCACTGTCGTTTGTACTTGCACTACCTTGTGTTTCGTGCAATATGACCTCCGACACCGCTGACAGGAAAGCTGTTGAAGCCCTGATCGCGTTCCCGTTCTCCTGCCAGGTGTTCGCTCGGTATCTCATTGAACGATACCTCTCAACCAATAATGCAGCTCGCTCCTCGTTGATCGGCCCGATCTCAGTCGGCGCTCCAGGCGCACGCCATCCCTCCGTCCCGCTTCCCTCTCCCTCTCCTGCTGGCGGGAACATGCCTTCCTCAATCGCGTGCAGCAACATGATCTCGAAATCGTGGCGGCTGAACTGATTCAATAGCTGTATCAGATTGTCAGCGTATGTCTTATGTCCTTTGGTATCCCTCTTCTCGCTCACCTCGGCTGCCGCTGCTTGCTGCTGTCTTATGTGCTGTGGAGGATCATCTGTGTCAGCGTATGTTTTATGTCCCGTCGTATCCCCCTTCTCGCTTACCTCGTCTGCCTCTGTTTCCTCCTGTCTTATGCGCTGCGGAGGATCATCTGGGTTGACCAACACCTCCGTTGCCTCCCTCACCTCAGGGATAACCTGCTCCACCGTAGGGCCATCCATCGTTCCTCCACTGGCTCTGTGTCGTTGTGGTCGGCCGTGTTCGCTGGGCATCTTGAGCGCCGTGATGGTGGTATGATGAATGAATGATAAGTTACCCGGTACAGCTCTTCTCAGATCGATAGGCCCGTGGAAAAAATAATCAGGGACAGCGGTTTCAGGCGGCGACACGCGGAGGACGCGGAGGTACACGCCTAGGTCTGCGTAGTACCTCTTTGCGGTGCTCGCGACCAGCTAACTGCCCTGCGCGATGTGTCGCCGCTGCGTCTGGGCCCAAATGCCTCTGTGTGCTCCACCGGGGCCTATCAATTTGAGAACAGTTGTAATCGATCGAGCCACCTGTGGATATGCATCTGTGGCTGATCATTAATTCCATGTGCCAGAGCCATTTTAATTTTATATACATTTCACTCAGTCCTGCCACCTTCCTGTGTTCGCCATTGTGCCCGTTTCCCCTTCAATAATCACATCTCACTCCGCCTACTACCGTTTCGTCCCATCTTTGCCCCCCGCCTGGCATAATTGTATGACCTATTTCCATAACCGGATAGTCTGCAGGCGCCGCTTGTGCACTCCGCGACCGGTGTCCGCATAGCGGTCACCCGCTATGGCAACGCTGACCTGCACTCCTGACTCCTTGTCCCCACTTGTGCACTCCGCGACCGGTGTCCGCATAGCGGTCACCCGCTATGGCAACGCTGACCTGCACTCCTGACTCCTTGTCCCCACTTGTGCACTCCGCGACCGGTGTCCGCATAGCGGTCACCCGCTATGGCAACGCTGACCTGCACTCCTGACTCCTTGTCCCCACTTGTGCACTCCGCGACCGGTGTCCGCATAGCGGTCACCCGCTATGGCAACGCTGAATGTGGCATCGTTATTTGTGGCGACGACCTGTTCCAGCTTCTTCCTAACCCTGTTTCGTTACTTCCTATCCTGCATTGCGGCTATATGTAGGCACTGAACTTGTACAAGTAACTCAATAGCCTACTATATAATTGTATTATCGCTGATTGCCTGACATGTAACTCAAATATCTCTTACCATATCTACACAAACCTTCACCAGAACCCTCCCCTAACCCTGAGGGTCTTAGGAAAACAGGGTTAAATGGCCCTTGCACCAGGAGCACTGGG